CTCCCACTTTGGACAATGAATAATGTCTCTCAATTTTTGGTTTTTCTCCGGTACCGGGAACCGAACTCACGACCTTGCGCTTGCCAGGCAGGCGCTTTGCCGCTGAGCTAAATCCCCAGCCCCAACTGGGTGAATTTTAACAGTTGGAGTTTGTACTTTTTTTTTTTTTTTTAAACAGAAACTTGATGTGGCTTTAAATTCAAAACAATTTAGCCAGGTGTAGCTTCTAAGAAATCTGAGGCTGGAGGATGGCAAGTTTGAGGTCAGCCTGGGCAATTTGGAGAAATCCTGTGTCAGAATAAAAAGGGTGAGGATGGGGCTTAGCACTACTTGAGTTCAATGTCAGTATTGAATAGAATTATTTTTAACTATTTAACAGTTTACCCCAAGCATCACTCAGGCAGCACATTTGCTTACGGACTGACTGTCCTGAGCATTGCTCAGGCAGGTGTCATTTCAATTAGGCAGTTCTCATTTGCATGAGATACACTCGTACATCTATTTGTTTTATATCAACTGCTTTTTTGCATACTTTATTCAGAATGTTGTCCTCACCTTTGAGGTTTGTTTCTAGTGAAATCTGGTAAGTTCTGGTTACTTTCTTTTAGCAGTTGGTGTTTCATTTGTGAAAAATAACCTCAACTCTTACCATAAGTGCTTGTTAGATGTGATTTTTATACTTATCCTAAACCCAGTGATGTTCTTTTACAATAAAACGGACACATTGGGCACACTGAGACTGAATAGGAAGGAAGTGCCAAAAGATCTGCAATAGAAAAACTGGAAAAGGAAGAAATGTTAGCATATCATTGAGGAGAAGCCTGTGTTATGAAATGGAAAGACAGAAAGACATCGCTTTATTGTAAACTGTTAATTCAGAAGGTGGTGGTGTCAATATCTAACAAGCTGCCTTGTAATTAAAAAGGAAAAAATATTACACAATATTTATACACTTTCTTCACCAAACAATACGGAACTCATTAATTATTCAAAACAAGGGGGTTCAAAAAGTTAGTTGGTTTGGATTAGGTCTCACAGACCAAATAATTGAAAAGTATGGGATAGCAAAACACCAATCAAGATGTTCATCATCGATGGCATCACTATTACATTTAGTGCATAGACACTTTATCAAAATTAGACCACCCACAGAAAAAAGGAAACACCAGCACGACAGTGTAAAGTGTGTTGTTCAAAGAAAGATAATAATGCAGAAAGAATTCAGAAAGAGTAGATACTATTGTCTAGATTATAATATTGTGTTCTGTATTAAATTTTTTCCTTTTAAAAATTTTTATTAATACATGTTTGCAATTCATGAAGTTCGCAGTCATCTATAAACACTCATCTTGGGGAGTGGTTGCATGTATTGAATGTTTTAAGATATACCATACACAGTCGGGTGTGGTGATGCATACCTGTAATCCCAGCACTTGGGAGGCTGGGGCAGGAGGATCGCCGTGAGTTCAAAGCTAGCCTAGACTACTTAGTGAGTTCACAGCCAGACATAATGAGGCCCTATCTCAAAAAACCAAAAACCAAAACAAAACAAGTACCATACACAGAAAATTTATTGAATAAATTTGATAAAATTATCATTTTTCTATTTCCTGTTATATAATAAAAATGAACAAAAACATACAATTTTTGGTCATCCTGTATTTAAATAATTGGGTGGATAAGTGGTTAAAGACATGGAGAAGGTTCTACCCAGTTCCTGCTGAGACCTTCCTTTACCCTCTGTGCACAACAAGCAGATGAACCCCTTATCACCTGCCTGCAGTACACACGGTGTAAATACACGTCCTAAAGTATTTTGCACTTTGCTTTTTGTGCCAAATACTATCCCAGTATGGGGTACATTGGCAACAAAAGTGTAACCCCTGCCCTCTGTGAGTGTGCACCCTACGGGGGACAGAGGTGACACACAGTGTGTCTGTCCTGCGGCGGTAGGTGCTGTAGAGAGCACTGAGATGGATGAGGAAGGCCTTGCTGCCCGTGACTGGGCACAGGTGTGGGCACCCATGAACCTGTAGGAGGGAGGGGTGAGCCAGGGGACCCTGAGGAGGGAGGCTGCAGGTGGAGGCTGGCAGGGCCAAGGCCCTGGGAGGATGAGCCCAGAACAGAGCCACAGAGAGGGCAGAGGAGGAGAGGGGTACACTTCTGTGGACCTTCAGCTGAGGACTGCACACAGTGGGCAGTCGCACCAGGACCAACCCATCCTCTCACATTCTTTGAGGAATAATGCTTCCACTGTTGTTTCCTTTGTGCCTAAATGTTTGTGTAGTGTAAATTCCCGAAGTGTGATGGCTTGGTGAGAGGGCAGGTGCTTTGTAAGTACTTGTGTAGGTGCAGTGAAACTCTTCTCCACGAGGGCGACAGTTTCTCCTTAAAAAGTGTCTGGGACGGGTAGTTTGCTAGGGAGGCAGAGACACGGGAGATTATATATGAACTATAGTGTACTCTTCAAATGAGCTTTTTAGGAGAGAATTCTCTGGAAAAAAAAATTTTTCCAAACTTATGTTTGTTTTATAGTGAATTTTGTGGAGAAAATCTCAGCAAACAGAAGTTTACTCGAGCAGTGAAGAAACTGAACACAAACATCCTTTACCTTTGTTTTTCTCAGGTATGGAAAATGTATTTTGAACCAATTTCTAATTTTTACCTAGCTAAAAATATTAATCAATTCTTTGCTTTTTCTAGCATGTAAATTTGGATCAGTTACAACCACTGCACACCCTCAGGAATCTCATGTACCTGGTCAGCTCAAGCTCGGAACACCTGGGCAGGTAGGCTGAGTGTGTGTGCTTTTGTAACTCTTATGAGTGGAGCAGTTGTGTGCATTAGCAGATGTCTTAGTGTTACCCAGTCCTGACTTTTCCAGCAGTCCTCTACTGAAGGAAATAATACAGTCATATTTGAACTGTTATGGAGTAATTTCTTAGAGAAAGTATCAAACATATTTAACACCTAATGTGCGGCAGAAGAACCCACATGTTTCTGGAGTGAGTCCATGTGTAGGTTCCCTGAGGACCAAAGGCCGTTTTTCACTTCCTCAAGCCCGCATTGGTTTCTTCTCTGGCTTGACTGGTGTCTCCCCTGCCTCTTACATGTTTTCTCCTGAGCCTCCATGTCATAATAATTCTTATTAAGTTTCTTTTTATTGCTGAGTCAGTCTAGTCATCCTTTTTTGGATATGAAGGTATTAGAAGATTATACAGTGAACTGATTTGAAATCCATTGGCTTAAAAACAGAAGTTAGTAACAAAAAAGACCAACCAGGGGCTGCAGTCTGGTCTGCAGATCTTTTTAGTCTCAGCCCATAAAAACGTGAGATAGATAGAGCTCCTCTTGGTTCCATGCCAGTCCCCTTTTGTGCTTGCTCTTAGCAGGTGTGCTATCTCTGCAGAGATGGACATGACTAATGGCTTTATGCTTTGGAATGAGAACTCAGACTGCATCAGATGTTTGCACAGCCGTAGGCTAGTGTGAGTGTTCTGAGTATGTTTAGTAGGCTGAAGTGTGGTGGTTCGGATTTGGTGTATTAATTGCATTTTTGACTCAATATTTTCAGCTGATGGGTTTACTGGAGTGTAACTTGAGTCTCTACAGAAAATGATGAAATTTTTTATTCAACATGTACCTTAGAATGCTTGCTATACACTGTATGGGAAGTGTGACTAAATGAAAGAAGGTCTGAGGCAATGAAATTGCTTATGATTTTCTGGGTCAGAAGGCTCAAAATTACAGAAATGCATTTTCTCCCCAGAAAGAACACTGATAAGAATTCCAAAAGAGTTCACTGAGCTTTGACAAATGGATTCTAAAGTTCAGCATAGTCTGTAGAGAAATTTAGAAAATGAATAATGAGGGTTGGCTTGACCTTTCAAGACATTAAGCTGATTAAAACAGGGTGCTGTTAACATGCAAATACCTAGAGCAAGACTTTTGAAACACAGTGTATAGATAGGGGTGGCATGTTGAGTCAGCTAATCATCACTCAGTAGTGTTGGGTGAGCCAGTTGGTATACAAATTAAATTCCAGATATAAAAAAAACTTTAAAAGGACAGTGTTCTATAATCATACGGTGGGGAAAGAATTCCCAAGTGAGCCACAAACCTAAAACTATAGGGAAGAGGGATTTTACAGTATGAATTTTACAGTATAAAAATTAAATGTCTCAGCTGGGCGTGGTGGCACGTACCTCTGACCCCAGCACTCCAGGAGGCTAAAGCAGAAGGATCGTAAACACCTAAATGTTTCTAGTAAAAATCACCTTATCTTTAACGAAGTTAAATAGGTTCTGCAACATGTATAATAGGCCAAAGATTAAAACCTAGGCTACTTAAATCTTTCAAATCAATAAAGGAAAGGCAGACAGTAAAAAACAGACAAGGATTCAAAGGTGTACACCAAAAGAGATGAAAACCATCAGCTTCAGTCAAGAGTAAGGAAATACTGTTCGAATCAGTTTTCCATTTTCAACAGTCAGTTTGAAAAAAATGGAAAAGATCAATTATACCCAGCATGGGTGATTACAGGCACTCTCTTAACACCAGAGGTGAGTATCTTTAGAAGGTACGAAGTTTCCAGGCGTTGTAGTGCATGCCTGTAATCCCAGCACTCCAGAGACTGAGGCAGGAGGATTGCCTCAAGTTCGAGGCCAGCCTGGGCTACATAGTGAGACCCTGTTTCAACAAAACAAAACATTTTCTATTACCTTTTGGTTAGCCTGAGGATTACCTTTCGGCCAATTTCGAGGGCTCTGCCCTGCATGAGTACACACAGCTGGGCTCTTGGTCACATCTGAGGTCCTGATCTGCGGGCAGGAAGTAGAGCTCTTAGCGCCCCTTTTCCAGGTGCTCAGTTAGAAAGAAGGCATGGAGAGGATTGTGAAGGAACCTGGGCAGCACTGACTTCTGGTTTCTAGCTACACCATCCAAATTGGGCCTCTCATTCTGAACCCAGGATAAACTGTTCTTTTTTTTTTAATAAGTTCAAAGTTACAGAAAAGTTACAAAAATGAAAATGGTGCAGACGTCCATATACTCTCTTTAATTAGATTCACATACTGTTAATGGTTTAGCCCATTTGTTCATCATTTGCTCGTCCTCTTCTCTGTAAATGCACATGTATACACAGATACACAAATATTTTTCCCAGAAGGTGTAAGTTGTACACATCAGGTTCTTGACCCCTAAGTACTTTCGTGTGCATTTCCTAAATGAGATACTTTATGCACCACAGTGATGGCCCTCAGCAAATTTAACATGGATGCAGTACTCTTACTTGCTATGTAGTGCACATTTGTTAGCGGTCCAGACCATTTCCTACGTAGTGTTTTTCCTTTCTAGTAAAGGATCTAATCTAGACTCGGCTATTACATGTAGTTATTATATTTAACCTCCTTTAAATGTGGAACATTTTCACAGTCTCCTGTCTTTACAGTATGAACATTTTTTAAAAAAGCATAAATCCCCTTCCCAACAGAACTTTCCTTCGGGGTTTCTCTGTTTCCTCCAAGTGGTCTGGCTGTGCAGGCCGGCAGGGGTGCTGCCTGAGTGTGCGCTCCTGCTGCACCCATTTCTGGAGGCACAAATGTGAGTTTGCCTCGCATTTGTGCTGAGGTCTTGGTCCCTAGTCAGGGTGCTTCCCAGTTCCCTGCTGTGTGGTTTCTGTGTGTTTCCTCCTTTGTGATTAACAAGCCATACAGGGGAGACACTCCAACTGTGTGGGTACCTCTGTCACAGTCTCCCCTAGGATTAAGTGTCTCCTGGAGGTTCTTATCTGATCCAGTGTGCACCGTGATGGTACTACATTAACACATTATTATTTTCAAATGAGATGTTTTGCAAAAGAAATTTTTACAAAGCTAAAAAGATTTTTTTTTTTTTTTTTTTTTTGGTCTTAATTGATAGACTGAACTCCATGCAGCATCATGAGAAAATGAGTATTCTGGCTTTAGGGCCTTGACTAAAAAGAAATCATTCATTCAACTAAAGTACCAATTGGAGAAATGACTTCTATCATCTTTTTTTTTCCAAGACATTACGGGAAGGAAGAACCAATCCTCCTGCTACTTAGTTCCGTGTGCTATGTTCCTGGCTTGGAGTGTGTTGGGTAGGAAGTACAGTATGGCTCCAATCTTCAAGTGATGGTGGGGAGACACTGGGTGGAGAACCACCTCAGAGCCTCTAAAGGGTCTCTCCTCCCGCTCCTGTGGCTACTTGGCACTGGTCAGTCCACACTGGCTACTTCAGGAATCTTCCATTTGTTCAAGTTTCATTCTGAGCACTTAATTGAGTACCTGCTCCATGCCAAGTGGAATCTGCCATATCTATGGGAGTTCAAGCAAAAAACCAGGCTTCAGGGAGGTACCTTGCAGAAACTCTGTCTGCAGAAAAAAAAGGATGTTTCTTCCCTGTGTCATTCGTGCCTGTGTCCTGGGAAACCCTTAAGGAGAGCCCTGGGGAAAGTGGCAAACCCATGCTGTGGGAGTCCCCAGAGTAAAGAGGCAGCATCCAGGAGGAACAGCACATGGGCTGAGCCTGCAGCTGGGAGCCTTAGCCTGGCGCTGAGTGCTGTGGCGAAGTTGAACAGTGCAGACTCAGCAGTCTTGAGCGAGGGACAGAGAGAGCCCAGCAGAGGCACGAGAATTGTGAATCCCTTGGGGAAAAAGAGGCAGCCTCTGAAACAAGGCGGGAGGTAGTAAGGGTGAGGTGTGAGGGCCTGAGCTGGGTGCCACATGGAGGGTGGAAAGGGGTTTGGGTGGTGACATCAGTTACTCCTGTGTCCCCCTGGTACAGCCTGAGGAGGAGGGAAGAGTCTCAGCTGGCTCGATTATCTGAGTCTGAGGTAGTAACTCTCAGATCTAGAGATCTGCTGGGCAGGAAGAGATCAAGTAGGAGAGGGATAGGAAAAGATGACTCTGGAGTGGACCTCCTCGCCTAGGACACAAAGGCAGACAAAAGGAATCAAGTGTAAGGAGAACCTTAAGGAAGTGGAAACAGACTCTGTGGAGCTAAGGTAATGGCTGCAGTGCTCGTCAGTCTGGCAGAGAAAGCTTTGAGGGGTGCAGCGGTCCCCTTCCAGTTCTTACGCATCTCATCCTGTGAAAAACAGTGACTTCTGTGTAGGTAAAGGCTTTGAAGCCCTGTGAATTGCTCATGAAATCAAGGAGAAAACGCTGGGGTTTAATCCTTGTAAAGCCCTGAATACCATACTTCGAACATATGCGTTAGCAGTGATTGCTGTGTCCCAGTTGAGAAGCGAAGTTGTCTTATGAGAATGAGGGCTTCTTGACCCAGGAGAGAGTGAGCCGGAAGGTAGGGACCTGGTGAGGGACATTGGATGCCATTACCAGCCTTTATTGTTCCAGGGGCTGCCAGGAGTTTGAGGCCAAAGACTAAAATATGGCAGGGTATTTTCATCTTCACGTGTTACTTCGAAGTCATGATCAGTGAAACCTGTAATTGAGCTGAGGCCTCACATGCTTATCCTGGGGGCACCAGCAGAAATACCGGCTGCTGAAGGGATTTGGACCTCACTCTTTAAGCAGCTCCAGGGCTGAGAGGCCATGGGTGGGGGTGCCTGCCTGGCCCTCCGAAGCAAGTAGCTGGCAGGCATTTGAAAGGGAGCAAGGAAAAGAAGTAGAAAGGCCTGTGCAGGCTTTTCCGGAAGAGTGGCGCTGAAGAGCCCAAGAAAGCACTCTTGGACTTGGCCATGAGGATGTCATTAGGGCCCTTTGGTGAATAAATAGTTTTCACCTGAAACACAGTGTAGACAAAT